TGGGTAGAATCCCAGGTGCTGAAGGACCAGGGATTCCAAATAGCCCACCTGAGCCCAACCAGCGTACATGGCATTTGAGTAGGGCCACTCAGGACCAGACACTCGGCCTCCAGAGAGAATCATCTCATGGGCGACTGCCCAGGTGGGTTTCAAAAGCCAAACCACAATGGTCGCAATGAGAGGTTTTGAGAGTTGTGAGGGCTCTGGTGTACACGGTTTTTATTTCAAAGAGCAGTGTGAGGCTGTGACTGTTCCACCAAGCGAACGCTGGGCAGGCAGCTGTCCACCCTGGGGGCAGCAGGAGACAGGGCCAGGCTCTGGGCTGCAGGCCGAGAGCAGCGCCACTGCCAGCCACTCGAGAGAATTCTGCCTTCTTCAAGAGTATACACCTCCCTCCTCAGGAACAGCGCCTCAGCAATGACTGCCTGACGCAGGGGTGCCAAGGTGGGGTCCCCTGGCCTCAACTGGGGACGTGTATGCTTCATTCACTCCCAACAGGTATTTTCCAGAGATCACACCCCCAAAATGCCTTGCATGCGAGTTGGTCTTACACACTGTTTCCTGAGAAGCCTGACCTGCTATGTACTCTCCCAGCCCCATCACTCAGTCATTGGAAGTCCATACCGAACTTTGATCATTGCCTCAAGTCCACTAAGCTTCCTCTGATTTATGTGTCTCTGTACATGCTACTGCTTCTGCTTAGGGCCTTTTCCTTCCCTCCTCCCTGCTGTCCACTTCATAGGGCTAACTCCTATTCATCCTTCAGACTTCAGCTAAGATGTCACCTCCTTTGGAAAGTCTTCCCTGATTCACTGAGCTCAGATGCCCCACCTCTGTGCTGTCAGTGCATTCAGTACTGGCTCTGTCACTGCACAATTAAATTATGCATCCATGCAATTGCCTCCCCTACTAGACTATATCCTCTACAAGGGCAAGGACTGTGTCTGTCCTGTCCGTAATCATATCACTAGTGCGTAGTGCAAGACCTGGAATACAATAGGTATGCCAAAATATTTGTTAAATAAATGAATAAAAAGTAGGAAATAAAGAAGCCCTAAGTAAGGAAACAGCAGCAGGATAAAAAAGAGAGTGTATCTGATATATATTTAGGTGCTAAAATTAATCAGTTTTGAAGACTGACTAATTGACTGATTAAGCATAAGAATAGGAGTGAGGAAGACTCTAGAATAACTCCCATGTTTCTGCATTTGTACGTGGGTAGGAGATGATGCTATTTGCTGAAAGAGAGAATACAGAAGGAAGTTTAAGGGGGGCTTAAACAACAGCAATTTACTTCCGACAGTTCTGAAGTCTAAAGGTTCAGGATCGAGGTATCAACAGGTCCGGTTTCTTTTGTGGCTTCCCTCCTTGGCTTGCAGGTGGCTGCCCTCTTGCTGTGTCCTCACACGGTCCTTTCTCAATGCACCCACATCCCTGCCATCTCTGTGTGTGTGTCCAAACTCCCTCTCTTTCTAAGGATACCAGTCACATTAGATTAAGGCCCACCTTAGTGGCCCCATTTTAACTTAATCACCTTTTAAAGGCCCTGTGTCCAAATACAATCACATCCTGAGGTCCTGGGGGATAGGGCCCCAACATACGAATTTTGCAGGGGGCACGGTTCAGCCCATAACAGCTCTACATTTCTTCTCATCCTCTTTCCACACCACTGCCCCGGGGGCAGCCAGCCCGTGCCTCTCTGCCACAGCGCCGATGTCCAGACAAGCCTTTGCCTCAGATTTCTAAGATTCAGACTTCAGTGTGTTATGAAAACAGATGAAAGAAGAGGTTATTCTGCCCTAGATGGGGATGAGTAGATGGCAGGAAGACATGAAGGATGAGTAACAATACACCGGTTCCAAAAGAGAAGAACACTCTAGGGTGAGGGACCTATATAAGCAAAGATACCACGAAGTTAAATTTCCTAAGGAGTCTGGGGACAATTGGATGTGGCTGTTGTGGCGGTGGCGTGTGGGGGATGGTAAGAGCTGAAGCAAGAGTGGGTGGCTGAGATCATTGTAAAGAGCTTTCCTTTTGGCATAACATCAGCCAGTGCTTTATCTAGACATATAAACAGGGAATTAGAGGCTGCTCCAATCACTCAGGCAGGAAACAATGTAATTATTGTGAAAGGTTGGGACATTGGAGGATGACGTTAAGACAAAGGGCTATTAAGACGGGGGTAGGGGCCAGAGTGGTGAATAAAAGATAAAGAGAGGAAAAAAGATAAAGGCTTAGAAAAAGAGAGAAGAAAAGAAGAGAAGACAAAGAGGGGAGACACTTTGTTCAGATCTAAATGATGACTGCCGGTATCCCGGATGGGATACTGTTGGGCTCTGCCTCCTCAAGAAGACAGTCTCCTCCTCACAGACTCCCTGAAGTTGGCCAGCCCCTCCAGAAAGTGGGGGATCCTGGGAGCAGAGGAGGCTCTAGAAATCAGGGGGTCCGTTCCTATGGAGGCACGGCAGGAAAAAGGCCACCAGTGAGGAAGGTGGCGAAGAAGTCCGAGAGGACCTGGAAGCTGCATGAGGTCAGCCCCTGTGGGCTGATTGGCTGGGCCTTAGTAAGTCCAGTTCTAACTGGTCATTTAGGGGCCACAGTCAACAGGGACAGGGCTTATAGATCAAGGACCAGTGACCTGGATTCAAGCACATGAGGACATAGCGGTGACTGTCAAAGGGCTTAAGTTTCCTCTCTCAGGAACCACGGCAGGAAAGCAAAGGATCAGGCACTCGCAGAGGAGAAAAGGGAGGTCACTACACTCGGTCACTATCATCACTAATGAGCTTATAGCAGCGGTCAAGGCCAGAGGTTAAATGGAAGGAAGGCAAAAGAATCAATTGAGGGATTTTATCCCAACTGCAGACTAAGCAAGCCATCTTTTCCTTTCCATTGGTCGAGGCTTGCTCTGAATGAAGATGACCAGAGTTGGCTATTGTATGTCAGTTAAAACTGTGACTATCGTCAAGGTGAGTTTAACTTTTCTTTATGAAAACTCTGATCACAAGAACATGAGGATTTCAGCCCTGGCTGGGTGGCTTAGTTGATTGGAGTGTTGTTCCGTACACCAAAAGGCTGTGGGTTGGATTCCTGGTCAGTGCACATACTTAGGCTTCAGTTTCAATCCCCGCTACAGGAGGCAACTGATGGACGTGTCTCTCTCACACCACTGTTTCTCTCTTCCTTCCTCACTCTCTAAAGTCAATAAAAATATATCCCTGGGTGAAGATTAAAAAAAAAAAAGAAGAAGGATACTAAGGTTTCCATTCTGGGTCTGCCCCATGCCTCCGCAATCCTAATGGGTTAGGGAAGCCAGCTGTTACCTCTGGGATCAAAGGAGTGACGCTCTCAAAGACCACGTGGAGACAGTTAGAGCAGAGACCACGCTTGTCTCTATGAAGCTGGTGACTGATGAGAGATGGGTGAGGGGCATGAATCACTAGCAGGCAGAGAGAGGCTACCAAATTGGGCAAAACGGCTCTTAGGCCAAGCTCTTTGGAGCACATCCCATACATGCCTGGGCACAGCAGCCCTGGAAGCAGCCTGAAGCCTTTCGCTGCGTTCTCACCAACTCTCCAATAATTCTTTAGACTTCATTAATATTGACTGTATATTTCATTGTAAAAATAATGTAAGCATGCTATAGAAAACCAAGAAAAAGTTAACCCAGAGCACTGCTCCCCGAAGTTCATTGTGATATAATCGTAGATTCCCTCCGCAGGACCTTATCCCCCTGGGGTCACGGTCTCAGAATTAGGACTAAGGCGCTCATGGAAGAAAATCATCCAGAGCACCTTTAGCGTGAGACTTTATTCAAAAACGCCTGGCATGAGAAGTCTCCAGAAGAACATTCTCACTTGGACAAGGAGGCTGAGTCAAGCAGTGATTTTTATAAGGATTTAAGAGGAAGGACCCGCTGAAGTTCAGCTAGTTTGGGGAATAGTTCAAAGATGGTTCTCAGAAATAGGAGGAATTTTTCTTCAGGATGAGGAGCCATTGTTTTTTATTTTATTAAGGGCATTGGGAGCAAGAGTTAGGGGCTAAGCTCACGTGGAAGAGGTAGAGAGGAACCTCTAATGGGGGCAAGGACAGGCAAAGCCCACACTGGAAATTCTCAGTCTTTTAGTATCTCTTACAGGGACCAGATGCAAACCCGGGTCTTCTGACTCCTGGCCAGAGTTCTTTCCCTGAGCTATAGATGCCACGACTTTCCTTACTTTGGTAGCTGATTGAGAAAGAGCGAGCCACGGGTGTCTTGCATGGAAAGAGAGGTTGAGATAAATAAATGCCTGGACAGCAAAGGCAAACATTGGAAGATGTTGTCCTAAGAATGTGATTTATCTCCACAGCACTAAGGCCTGCAGAAATTGAGTTCTATGTTTTGCTGGCCTGCAGCTACAGGTGAAAGGAATTCTGCCACTAGGGACTAAGGTCAAGGGCTTCCTTATTTGCTGACAATTTAGCTCTGGAAGCATCACTGTATTAATAATAGTTGCTGTGCATCTTAGTAAAACTCTTCTGTGCTGGATCCTCAGAGTTTTTAGCTATCGGCCTGGGTGGCCAACCTGACGCCCATTGTACCTCTCTCCCCTAGGGGCAATCAGCCCTGTGCATATCAGAGCTATTTTTTTTCCTTCCTGTGCCTTTAAGAGCAGCAGGAATCCTGAGAGAGTCTGGAGGAGGGGTGGGGTCTCCCAACAGGACTTCTGGAAAAGGATCCTGGGAATTTTTGCCAGAAACAAAGCTGAGATTCCAACTCTGAGAAGTTGGGAGTGGTGTGTTTTAGGTCGGGGTTGGGATTGGACTGCAGAATCCCCTCGGGAAGGACAGCAATAATAAAAGCGTTTGGGAGAGGGGGGAAGCCCTTCCTGCACCCACCCTAGTGCACACTCACACAGGCCTAGAAGCAGGGCGCAGCCAGTGGGCTGGGGAGGGTCCGTGTGTGCCAAGGGTGATATCAACAGATGCCGGACCCAGGAAGTTCTCTACCCTAAGTTGGCCTGCAAGGCCTCCAGGGACCGGCTTGCCAACAGCTGGACTTGATCACCAGCTTTCAAAGTGAGATCACACATCTGGTGGAATAACAAGCAAACTTTGCTTTCCGGCTGTTTTTAAAGGATTTTCACAGCAGCGGCTAGAAACCAGGAGACCACCACCTGGACCCTTGACTCTTCTTGGAGAAGCACAGTACAGGAGTCCACCCGCGGGTGGTTTGCTGGACGATGCTGGCCCTTCGGCGAGCTTCCGCTTTCCTGGTTCTGCTCCTCTCAGCTTTCCTGCCCCCGCCACAGTGCGCTCAGGACCCAGGCATGGTACACTACATCTACCAGCGCTTTCGAGTCCTGGAGGTAGGTGGCATCTGTGCACCTGATACGGGAGATGCCTCCCGGAAGTCCCCTTATCTTACCCACGCTTCCCTATCTACTGGGGTGCGTTTTTCCGGAGAGTAAATAATAAATACGTTGTTGAAATTTTTTATACTCCAGTGGTTTACAGCGCCAGAGCCCGGAGTGCACCGCTCCCAGACCTGGGGCAGGGCCTCCCTCTCTGCAGTTTTTCTCATCTGTAAAATGGGGATGGGAATGGAATGTACCTCCTAAAGCTCTTCTGGAGACTTAATAAATTATTCCATTAGGACATTGCCTGGCATACTGGTACTGTCCAAAATGTTATTGTTCAATAGTTCAGCTTTTAAAATATGAAAATTGAAATTTGGGGTCACTTTTTCTTCATTTTCACAGTATCAGGATACTACTGTGAATAAGCTAATTTTAGCATTTCCTTTTGTCTTCTTATGATAAACCATTAGGTCACTGTAAAAAAGTCATGACACTGTTGTGCCAAGAAGCTGTCATAGCTTCCTTTGCCAAACGGGACTCGGATTTAGAGATGAGCAGATTTCAGCAACGTTAAGCAGAGAAAGTATCTGGGCCCTCTTCTCCGTATGTTGCAGCTACCACTCCATTAAACTTTGCAAAACCCAACATTTTTGCAGCATGAGTAGGCTCCCGGGGACAAATGTAACCCTCTGCCCTGCTTAGCCTTTGACACAACCCTGGTGTTGACATTATTATTTCCTACTTAACTGCCTTGCTTTTGTACAAGTTAAATTTGGATAAATTATCTTCTTTCAAAGACCCTCTTATCTCCAATATTTATTTTGAGTATTTTCCTGAAAAATCTTAAAGTCCAAATTATTTGTAACATCATGTTATTTATTTGTAACATCAAGTTACAGTTTGGGTAAAATAATTCCACAGAGCAGGCCCAACACGTTTCCTGACGTTGTCCGGCCAACTGGCTGGGGCCTGGAGGCAGTGGGTGCAGAGGCCCCAGGCCACTGGCCTCTTGCTGCTTCTCCCTTGCTCTCTCCTCAGACACCTCCTCCCCACTCTCACCTCCTTAAAAGTGCCAGAATTACACGCAAGCACTACAGTTAGCACCAACTTACCCAACATTTTAAGATATGTACTTACATATCTATAACTAAATGCACAAAAAAACCCTAAAAAATTGATTCCTTAAAGTATCAATTGTACTTTGAGTTAAGAAATTAAGGGTGATTTTTATTTCTCCCCTTTCTGATCATTAGTACTTTAAAAATCTTTTGCTATGAATGATAGCTATTTATATTACTTGGGTAACTTCAGTAACTAGCAGTAATTTGGGAATTTATTTTCTGACTGAAGCAAGGACTGCAAAAATGTACCCAAACAACGAGGGCATACATTCAAGACTTCCGCGAGTTCTCAAAAAACATATCCATTATGCTGGGACAATGTCAGACCTACACAAGTGAATATAAGAGTGCAGTGAACAACCTGGCACTGAGGGTCGAACGTGCCCAACGGGAGATTGACTACCTAGAGTACCTGCGAGAATCTGACACGTGCGTAGAATCAGAGGACAACATGTTGGCAGAAAAGCTAGTCCAAGAAGCTGAAGAAGAGAAAAAGATCGAGACTCTGCTGAATGCAAGTAAGAGAGCTGCGTCTTTTATATCCTCCTAGGGACTGTCACTCTGACACACAGACGTTGAGGGGGGTGCTGACTGAGTATGAGAGTGGTAGTTGGATGTGCACCCTTGTGTGCCTGTGCTGTGAAGGGGGTGGGGGTGGGCGGGGTAGAAGCCTTAGCAGGGAACAGAGGTCCGAAGGAAGACCCAGTCTTAGAAAGCAGCTTTTTCTTTCACACAGCATTCCTAAAGGCCCCATGGAAGGTCAGGGCTATCGTGTCAGAGGTCAGCCCAGGTAGGGCATCCCCTGCTAGGCCTTGGTGTGGCAGAGGTATGTGGTTCCAGACCCTTCCAGGGAGAATGACAGGTTGGTGGGTTCTCCCAGGGCTCTGGGAGTAGGGAGAGACTGCAAGGGAGCCAGGCAGCCCTCAGGGCCGGGGTCTGCACACAGTTATTACTGCGTGTGCTGTCAGGACAGTGGTATCTAGGGCATTGGTCTCCTATCTTGTGAGCCATCAGAATCACTTCCAGGCCATTGAGAATACCGTTCAGGAGCTCAAATTAAAATAACAAGTAGCAAGCAACAAAAAACATAAAAGGAAAGGAAAATGCCCTGTGTATGAGTCCATTTTATTAAAACAATGTGGGAGACGGTTCTGCCAAGGCCTGTATGCTGAGATGGTTTTATTGCATATGGGAAAACTTTATTCATAGGCCAAGTGTGTGTGCTCCAAATGTGAGGAACCCCATTAGGGAAATAAGACATAAGCTAAATGCCATCATTGTGCTAAGGGTTTCACACACCTTCTCAATGTAACCCTCGTAAGAACTCCATGGGTATTCCTAAATGAGAGGAGGGGGCGCTTGATCTGAGTTTTGAACAAAGAAGTTAGAGAAGAATGTTCAGAGGGCACAATGTGTCAAAGGTATGCGGGAATGTCCACTCTGCCACGTAGATCTGCGGACAGGGCCGGGTGGGCCCGTATGGGGCGGGTGTATGGGGAAGTAAGATCGGAGATTTCAGCAGGGTGCATATAATGAAAGACCTTGCATGCCAAGGAGGTTGGACTTGACTTGAGAAACTATAGAAACCACTGGGCAATTCTAAGCAGCGGCATGACATGAAGGAAGAGGGCAAGGCTAGAGAGAGGAGACCCGCTGGAGCAATGCTGCAGTAATTTGGGCAACTGTGATTGACGGCGCCCGCATTAAGTGTCAGTGAGATGGAGAACAGATGGGTTTGAGAGCCACTGAGAGTTGGAATCCACATGGCTCGGTGACTGATAATTAAAAGTGAAAAATGAGTCAAGAAGGATCCATCCAGGATGCTTCCCAGGGTTGTGGCTTAGGTCCCTGGCTGGTTGGTGGTCTGAAAAATGTTGAGACAGGAAACCCCAGAGGAGTTTTGGAGCTATTATTACTCTACTATTTTGGGGGAAGTACTTATTACTCTGAAATCTTCTAGATCATTCATTTGCTCACCACTTATTTTCTACCTCCGCATCCAGGACGTCAGTTCTATGAGAGCCTACATCCTGCATTTCATATTCAATGTTGCGTCCCAGTGCCTAGAACAGTGTTTATGTTCATCAAATCTTTGTCAGTGAATAACAAAGTGAACAAATGAATGAATGGAAGGAAGAGTTGCCAGCACAGAGAGAGGGGCTATTAGGCTTTGAAAGAAAACAGAACATGTTATCTCTGCGTTAGAAGACAGAGAGGAGGTTGTCTTACCTATTAGAAGACAGAGAGGAGGTTGTCTTACCTATAATAGGAAGCAGTTGATCAAGTTGGTCAAGTGAGTAATCCTTTTTGGTCCTGGCACTGCCTTGAGATGAACTGTCCTCTGACACGGAATAACAGGGGCTAAGCATGGCGGGGAGGGAAGGGATAAAGGGTAAGGATGAGCCAGCAGAGGATGAACAGAGACTGCCCAAAATGCTGACAGGTAAGATTGGGTGCTAATGTGGCCTGAGCTAGAATGTGCCTGAACTTTCATGCCAGAGATCAGGCAGGCCAAGCCTGAACAATTGTACCGAATGCATCCCTGAGCTGCTCCTGGTCCCTGCACTCCCTGGGCCCCTCAGGCCCTGAAGTTGCCCCTTTACACTCCACCTTTAGCTCAGGAGGGGTCCTGAGTGTGGACTTGCTGCTTATTCAATTCACATCCTCTGCCTCATCCTTCAGACACTGGAGGCTGAAATATTCCCTCTCCCAGATCCATGGTGAGTGAAAATTTCTCTTTCAGCTTTCCAGAGATAGCTTCTTTTATGCCTGTTGCCTCTGGGGCTCTCATTTGGTGACTCGGTTTATGAATAACAGCCACATTTCCCCCCTACTATTGGATAGGCCCTGTCTACATATGCAGTAGGGATGGACGAGTGAGTAGAACATGCTATGTGTTGCACTACTGCTTCTGTACCTCTGGCCTTGCTTCCTACAATCCAACCGCTCTCATGCAGGCCTTCCCACCACACAGAATGAATCATATGACTCCTCTGAGTAGAATTTTTTTTTTTAATCATTCACCCTCATCTCCAGCTTCTTAGGCTCCTGTAATTTACCCAATGCAGTTGCAATTGAAATACAAATATTGTTTTTTCTACCCACACTTTATGCTTCAAAAATGCTGTGGATTCTCTGGGAAGACTTCTTAGTGATGGGAAGGGGCGGTAGCATGAGAATGCAGGCAGCTTGGCCCATAGAAGTCCTGCAGCACCTTACTCAGTCCTCCAACGGAGCACTAATATTTTTTAACAATTCATGTCTGTGTGTAGCTGACTGTGCAACCAGACCTTGAGCATGTCACACCCCCATTCCTGTATTCCCAGAGTCTGGGTCAGGGTCTCCCATGAAGGAGGCTATGAAAATTTTCTAAGAAGAGCCTAGCTTAGGGAAAGAAAAACCTGTCAACAATCACAACTATGTGATTAGTTTTCCTTGGCCTGTTATTGTCAGAGGTTTTCTGCCCAAAGATAGACTTTGGAATGCCAATTTATTCCCCTCCCTTACATTGTTTTTTTTTTTTTATTTTACATACTGAGCCCATCCCCCACCTTTTTTTTTTGTCATTTCTCTTAGTAACCATGCCTATCTTAGTTTTCTAATGCTGTGTAACAAATTGCCACCGATTTAGCTGCTTAAAACAGCACATGTTTATTTCCTCAGAGTTTCTGGGGGTCAGGAGTCCAGACACAGCTCAGCTGGACCCCTTGTGCAAGGTCTCAGGAAGGAACAAGCAAGGGCTAAATTCTCCACTGGGGCTCAGGGCTTTCTTCCAGGCTCACAGAGGTTGTGGGCAGAATTACCATAATTTCTCTTAGTTATAGGACTAGGGCCCTCCGCTTCCAGAGGCTGCCCTCTCTGTGCCAGCTCACAACATGGCTTGTTGCTCCTCCAAGGCCCGGCAGAGAGTGCCTGTCTTCAGGAAGCGCCCAATCCCTCTTTGAAGAGTTTTTATCTGATGTAAGGCAGTCCCACTCATAATAATCTTCCTTTTGATTCGCTCAAAATCAACTGATTTGGTACCTTAATTATACCTGCAAAATCCCTTCAACTTTACCTTATACTATAATCCTACCATACTGCCAGGTCCCGCCCTCACTGAAGGGGAGGGGATTATGTAGGGCATGTCCACTAGGGGGTGGGAATCTTGGGAACTGTCTTAATAGAATTTTGCCTACAGCTCTGGCCAGTGTGGCTCAGTGGATTGAGTGCCAGCCTGCGAACCAAGGGGTCGCTGGTTCAATTCCTGGTCTGGGCCCACACCTGGGTTGCACTGGGGGTGGGTAGGAGGCAACTGACAGGTGTATCTCGAGCACATCAGGTGTTTCCCTCCCTCTCCTACTCTCTCCCTCCCCCTCTCTCTAAGAAATAAAATCTTAAAAAAAAAAAAAAAAAAAAAGAATTCTTCCTACCAAGGTGCTCTAGTCTGCTCAGCTCAGCCCAGCTGGTGCCACTAATTACACGTACCCACCTTCTTCCTGCAAGTCTGATCTTCCTGTCTTCTTGGACCTCAGGGACTGAGCGAGCTATGTGACTTACACTAAAATTTCTGAGACTCAGGTCTGCCCTCTTACAGGGGCAAACACCTTGGTATAACGGGCTGGGGAAGAATTACCAGAGGTCATATCACAGGGATTTGTTCACATATACACTCTTGGCTTTTTCTTTTGTTTTGTTTTGTTGGTTTTTTGGTGGCAAATCTGTAGGCAGAGAATAATACAACTTCCTTGGAAAAATTTGACCTTGTGTAGAGATTTCCAGAATTTTCTAACATCAGTCTAAATGGTTCTTATTTATTCTGGAAATATTTCTTGGGTAACTATGAAGGAGCAGATACTGGGGATGATTAATAAGATTCAGTTGCTCTGTAATTAAGCCCTTCCCTGTAGAGCCGTTCCCAAGTCTTCAACCTTTATTTAGAGATGATCCTCCAAAATGTCCTCATAGTGCCACAACCCCAAGGATGTTTAGGGGTTATGTAAAATTTTTTAGAATCTTAACTTTAACAAACAAATGCTCTATTTCTCTTTCTCCCCCTCTCCCTTCCTTCCTCTCTCCCTCTGTCACACATTCATGTACGTATGTGTGTGCACATGTCCACCCACCACACACACACTTTAGATGCAGTGAGTAAAAGTTACTTGAGTAAAATCTAACCTGTATCTGAAAATCATTCCAAGCCTTTGACTCTTTAACTCTTATTAGTACAAAGAAATTTTGCATTGCACTTGGCAGTTTATGGCAAATCACACTGCCTCAGATACCCAGATGGAGAATTTATCCAACCAGAAATCTTCAGCCGGTTCCACTTGGTTACATTCTTGTGTGGATAAGGATATTAGCCTCTTGTAAATAGCTTGTAAAGAAAAATTATCCAGGCAATCAAAACAAGGCATTGGAAAAGATTTCATTTTATTTCCTGTTTTAGTCCAGCTCCTTTTATTACAAGGGTGCATGCAAGTTACCTCAAGTAACCCTCTCCCTGCTGAATTAAATAATTCATATCTTTTGTTAGATC